GTTACACACTGTACTTGAAGTAAGTTTTAAGAGTCTGATTTCCATACTGTGCAGAAATGAAATGAAACCATTAGTCTGGATCTGTAGAATAAATTCATCTAAAAAGCATACATTCAACAATTGTACTGAAGGAGCTTGAACCTGCAAACACACTGTTATTGTCCTTAAAGAGGCAGGAGAGTTGCTGATTTAATATCTTTTCTCATTTCACAGCCAAACAGGTGAATTCTTTTTGTGGAAATTAAGCATAAAATGCTTCCTATTCACTCTAGTATATATGCTATTTTACCCACTGCTATATGGTATAGCTAGGCCCTGTTCTAAAAAATTGAAAGGTACTGTTTTTTCTGCCTTTTAGAGAGTGCTGTAACATAAGGTTTTTAGCCATCATTTGCAAAAGCAGGTTTGACGCAACCCTGTCTTATCACATAAATTATTACCATAATGTTCCTATTATGTTCTGTAGAATCATTATGAATGATGCCGAATAATTGCCTGTTTTACCAGGGAGTGGAGGAGAATCATCAGCTACTTGAAACACACACAGACTGAATGTCTTGCCAAAGTTTCGGCTGCTGTACCTTTCATTCAAAAGTGATGGAGAGTGTTAGAGAAAGACATATGCACACATGTCAACATGTGCATTCAGCCACTCAGTACTAGTTTAACGTTACACAGTGACAGGTGCATTGTTGGGAGTAACTGCTGGATATAATACAATCAGACAGCCACACAGAATACCATTTAAAGCAGCAGAATGCTGTTGGATATATACTGTGGGCTATGCAAAGAGGGTTGGTCAGCAGATGACACTGCATCTTATAAACACAGCATGAGTGGAGGCAAACATCAGAAAATCTCATCAGTCTAATGGAAGCAGTGAACTATCACCCTCAATGCTTTTGTAGAGCAGGGAGGCTGGTGGGTGAGTGCCAGAGGTTGGTGTGTGGGGGAGGGCTCCATGACAAGCACCCAACTGACTGAGCTGGCTTGATCACTCTGTCATCTATTACAAATGATAGGCCTCCAATGCCAGGCTGTTATAAGATTCTGCCTGGTCTTGTTTTTCTGCTTGGGGTTTTAGCTCAGAGCACAATGATAAACTCAAGGCCTAAGCAGCATTCAATCAGGAAAACATTGCACTCTGCTGGCCAGGAAACCACATAACATGTTGGAATGGATGGTTCACAGAAAACGGACCTAGAGTTGACTTTTTTTTTGCACAGTGCACCAACAAATGTGCTCAAATTTAAGGTTTGAGGATGTAAATGTGCTTTTTTTAATGTTATACTGAATGTCTGAGAGTTTTCACGTGCTATATAATGATGGTAATGCTTACACTAATGTTAGACTCTTAAGTTTGAAATGCTTAAAATTGTGTTCTTTATTATTATCGTGAATATTGGAGATGTTCAAAAATCAAATAACAGTTTGTCAGCTGATAATAAGTATGTAATAAAAAAATGCATGTATTGAATGTTTTAATATGAACACATAATATAAACCCCTATATTTGATAAGGATCTCTTAAATTATAAGATATGTAATGAATAATATGATATATACTGAATTACATATAAGTGCTTTCTGGTGGACCATCTATGTAATTGTGACACTGCTTCTAAATGACCTCAAACATATATTTGGCATTTTCATACTCCACACTACTTCTTATAATATTAATATATCAGTCATAAGGTAATGTTGGCCAATATATCAGCCTGGCTGATTCATGGATTGGGCTCTATTTTATTGTATTGTAATGTATTTATTTGTTTATTTACGTTTACTTTTCTTCATCTTGTAAATAATTCTATATAATGATATAATGATAATATAATGTACTTGTACGTGTCTGTGAAATGAGGATGTATAAAAATAGATAATACTGTAATGTAATGATGTAAAGACATATTATATAATACATATATTATTATCTGCTGCGGACTCACTGCTCGGCTCACTACGGAAGAAGTCGTTTAAGTCACGTGACAGGTTATGCCGGTTAAACTTCCTGTTGTCACTTCAGTTGTTTATTGTTTGTTTTTGCTGTAACATATCCTTTAACTGTTTTTTGCAACAGGTCGGGAGTGCAGTTTACATGACAGGCACATATTTTCGCTGGCTAAACGAACCACAAGTGTCAAACTGATTCGGAAACAAACCCGTCACCTGTTTAAAGCCAATTGTCAGCTCATGCTAGTTGTTGCTAACGTTAGCCAGCCGTCGTATGTACCGAGAGTGACAGCTGTGAAAACGGATGTGTCTTTAGGGTTTTGCTTTTCTTCCATCAGCTTGAACCGGCGAGTTTCACCCCGAGGAAAGCCCAGTAGGTTTTGCTCGCACCATGGCCATTCAGCTTTCAGCACAATGCGTCTCCTCTCTGAGGAAAGCTGGAAACCTTATTCATTTAAGAACTGCTGCTCTGGGCGTCGAGAAGAGAAACTACAGCAGCAGAAAAGCCTCTGCTGAGTACCTGCACCGGAGTGTTGTACCGTCCATGCATTACCAGAAGAGTTTACCCAGGTAAGGAGATGAAGGTGAAATTGGTCATGCACAGTTTCTCACTTTACATTAACATAATGTTTTAATTGAATATAACTTCAAGCTTAATATGAATCTAACGTACCCTGCAAATACCAGGCGGGTGTAGCAAGGTGTTCTAAGTTAAAGAAGGTGACCTATTAAGCTCTTAGATGAATGTAGGTGAAAGTGCACAATTGATTTGAGACCGATGACCACTAGGGGGCGGTGACATTACTGTGTCTGGTGTCTAACATTTCCTGTACTGCTGAGAGGCTAAATCGTCTGTTTGATTATTGCTTTTGAATGGTTCAGGCTACCAGTACCTAAACTGGAGGATACTATCAGGAGGTATTTAGCTGCCCAGAAGCCTCTGTTGGACGATGAGCAGTTCAGGTAAGGTTTGACAAGGAAATCAATCTTTTCATTTCATTATTAGCTAGTTCAGGGATTCCCAACCTTTTCCCCTCTTCTATCATTGAGTAAACTGACAACCCCTGTGTGATATATTATATGGATATTTCATATCATATTAAAAACTGTACAATGATGAATTTTGATCCGATTATTTCCTCTTTACGGAACTTTTTTTTTATACAATTCTGTCTGTATTATGTTTTTTTCATATAGACTTAGTAGGCTAAGTTCAGTGTTTACTTGTCCCTGATGCTTGGCCTTTGTTCTATTAGACAATTTACATTTCTTCTTCTTCACAGAAGTGAACCAAATGCTGAGATACAGGCCTGCTGTGTATATTTTCATGTAATTTTCTTAAACGCTTTAAAACCAACTGTGATAGTTAATTATCAACACTAACTATTCAAATGTTACCTGCTAAAATCCTCATTGTGTCCTTAGAACAACAGAGAAACTCGCACAGGATTTCCAGAATGGTGTGGGGAAACAGCTGCATGAGGAACTGGTGGCTCAGGACAAAAACAATAAGCACACAAGCTACATCTCAGGTGAATGTGCCCTTCTGACCATTACCAACCTGACATTGAGCCTCTCAGATGCACACAATCACTGCTGAATCCGGCTGAATAACCTCTTTTTTTTTCAGGACCATGGTTTGACATGTATCTGTCTGCACGCGACTCCGTGGTGCTGAACTTCAACCCCTTCATGTCCTTCAATCCTGACCCAAACACGGAGTACAATGACCAGCTGGTGCGGGCGACCAATGTGGTGTGTTCAGCAGTGCGCTTCATGAAAACACTGCGAGCTGGAATACTGGAGCCAGAGGTCTTCCACCTCAACCCGGCAAAGAGCGACACAGACGGCTTCAAGAAGTTGATCCGCTGGGTCCCGTCCTCCCTGTCCTGGTATGGGGCTTACATGGTGAATGCGTACCCCCTGGACATGTCTCAGTACTTTCGCCTCTTCAACTCAACTCGGATTCCCAAGCGTGGGCGAGACGAGCTCTTCACTGATGACAAAGAGCGACACTTGCTAGTTATGAGGAAAGGCAACATGTATGTGTTTGACATTGTAGACAGGGACGGGAATTTGGTGAAGCCTGCAGAGATCCAGTCCCACCTGAAGTACATTTTGTCCGATCCGACACCTGCGCCTGCCTTTCCTCTCGGGGTCCTGACCAGTGAGAACAGAGACGTGTGGGCCGGGCTGAGGGACAAGCTGATAGCTGCTGGAAACGCAGAGGATTTACGGGTTGTTGACAGCGCCCTTTTCTGCCTCTGCCTGGACGATGAAAGCATGAAGGACCACATTCACATCTCCCACAACATGCTGCACGGCGACGGCTGCAACCGGTGGTACGACAAGTCCTTCAGCGTCATTCTGGCCAAAGATGAACAGGCGACCATCAATTTTGAGCACTCCTGGGGTGACGGCGTGGCTGTGCTTCGCTTCCAGAATGAGATCTTCAAAGACACAACGGAGCAGCCGCTGGTACACCCGGGCTCCGCTGCCGCTGCTGTGGATTCAGCCTCTGCTGTGCGCAGGCTGCAGTTCAACCTGGATGGCGAGCTGGAGACTGGCATCAAAAAGGCCAAGGAGAACTTTGATTCAGCCGTGTCGAAACTCACCATTGATGCCATGGAGTTCAAGAAAGGTGGGAAAGAACAGTTGAAGAAGAGTAGGTTGAGTCCAGATGCGATAGCCCAGCTGGCTTTTCAGATGGGCTTCCTGAGGCAGTATGGACAGACGGTGGCCACGTACGAGTCCTGCAGCACTGCGGCGTTCAAGCATGGCCGCACGGAGACCATCCGCCCTGCCACCATACACACAAAACGATGTTCACATGCCTTTGTCTGCCAGCCTGGCCAACACAGTGTGGAGCAACTGAAGGCCATGCTCAGTGAATGCTCTAAATATCACGGGCAGCTCACCAAGGAAGCAGCTATGGGTGTGTCTTTGATAGGATTCCAATTAGTGATATATTCAAAATACTGTCAGTGTGATTTCAGACATAACTGGGCTCAAACACACACATAATACCCATTGGTCTTCTGTACTAACAACTTTCATTTCTCTCTCCAGGCCAAGGTTTTGACCGTCACCTGTTTGCCCTGCGATACCTGGCCAATTCAAATGGCCAGGCTCTGCACAGCCTGTACACGGACCCAGCTTACACTGCCATCAACCACAACATCCTCTCCACCAGCACCCTCACCAGTCCAGCCGTGAGCCTGGGTGGCTTCGCCCCAGTGGTGGCCGATGGGTTCGGTGTCGGCTACGGCGTCCACGACGACTGGATCGGCTGCAACGTGTCCAGCTACCCGGCTCGCAACGTCCACGAATTCCTGCAGTGTGTGCACAAGTCTTTAGAGGACATTTTTACTGTCCTGGAAGGAAAGTCACTCAGCTAAGAAACAAGTGTCTGTGATTACCAAAGAGGAAAAAACTAACTGCATAACAGTGAAGGTGTGGTCATCATTCTCAGCTCCCAGCTGTTCTGGGCAAACCATGAAGATTGTGAGATGAATAATTTAATTTTATACTCCTACAAAGAAACATGGAGAATCACAGTGATTAGATATAATTATTTTTAGGAATGGTTAAATGGTTAGGAATATGGGTTTGGATATTGTCTGTTTGACTGCAGACTAAAGTCATAACACTTGTTGTATAATGAAAACCACATCAGATATAGAAAAATGTTTAGTTTTCCACTTTATCTGATTCAGTCCACTGACTTTGCAAGAGTCTGTTTTACAGCCCTGTCCATTGTACAGTTTGCTGTAGAAGTGTAAGCAGTGGTTTTAGAATTACATAATACAGGGACAGCTAAGATTGGGAGTGCTGGTCATATTATTTATGCAGTATAGATTAACGATACAGACAGTATGGAGTCCTGTGAGACTCCAGAGATTCTGTGCCTTACCAAAATGTGATTTTTACTGAGCATTTGCTGATTGTCACTGTTATAACTTCACTAATAATGATCAGTTTATCATTTACAGCTGTATTGATGTGTTCAAAAGCCTTTTGAAATAAAACTTAATTTAATTGCATTTTTTTCCATTTTTTCCTGTGTGTAGCAGGAACCTCTTTCCATTTCTATACACTGGAATATAATATAGAACAGACTATAAATTAAATTAATATAAATCAACTTAGTGTTGACACCAAGAAAGAACTTTATACGAGTAGGGACAAAAGTTTCTCACCCTTTATTTAAAATAAAAAACAGTTCCACCAAAAAGCAAATGTACAAATGCGGTAGTACAACAACAGAAACATTAGCTAAATCAATTAAAATGAGCAAAATCCACATTTAGATAGGCTTGATCTTGAAGTGTAGGCCGATCAGACTGAAGACGAGACATTTCAGATCCTGCACCAGGTAGTAGAACACACGAAGACCTTCAGGGTCCCTGAAACAGTGCAATTTTCAAAGTTAAGTCCTTTCGTCAGTGACAAATATACAGTGTCTACCTTCCCAACTCCTTGAAAAAGTACTCACTTTGACTGGTTGACGTCAATCAAGGAGCCAATTTTGGAAGTTGTGAATGAAATGTGCTCATCTCCAATGACGATCTCCAGTTCCTGTGAAAATGAGGACAGAAATAAGTAAGATACTTTTAAGGATTCAAAAATGTTAACAGTCATCGATGCAGAGTTGATTTACCACAGTGCCAGTGATGATGGCAAAATCTGTGACGTGTCAGACAAATGTTGACCAAAGCAATCAGAACTGGAGCCACAAACCTGTCTGCCAACTCTGTCAGGGGGCGGCCACAGTGCATCATCTTCCTTGGTGATCTCACTGTCATCAATGATCCTTTTCAGCTCCTCCATCACGCTTTTGTGTACGTATGCCTGGGTGGGTGCACACAAGACAGACGGACCAGGTTAAACTTTGGAAATGTTTAGAGCTGTGACATATTTATAACAGATACTATGTGAGGATATGTAGATCTCAGATGTTGCTCATCTTAATATTAGGGCAGCACAGTTAACTGAAACATTATTTGTAATAGGGCCAAGTGAAATATACAAATTGCAGAAGCTGCATTTTTTGATGTGACAAACCACATTATAAGTACTGTAGAGCTGCCGAGGTGCACTGACCTACAAATCTTGTTTTCCAGGTGGAAGAAAACATGTTTGTTTGCTACAGACCCCAATAAATGTCTGATCATCCTAAGTAGTATTTATCAATGAAAATAAAAATGATGACACAAAAACAATCATTGCCAATAATCGGGAATCATACTGCAATGTTAATATCAGTCCATATCGTGCATCCCTAATTTTGATATTAAGTGGGGCAGCACTATAGGGATTTCTTCCAGCCGAAACAATAACTACCTGCTTCTCATGGCTGATCCCGATACGATCACAGAAAATGACACACTTTTGTATTGTAAAGATACGTTCACAGCCTGTCGTTTACAAACCCGAGGGTAGGAAAGGCTGAGATGTAGTGAGCAAAGATGGATGAGTTAATATTCCATAGCTCTGATCTAACCAAATCTAACTGACATCACTGTTAACAAACAAGACTTCTGAATCACAAACGGACAAACATAAAGCCCATCAATCGCACATGATTTAATTATCCTGATAATTCATTAGAATATTAATGACCCATTATTGGCCGATAATGTATCTGCCCTGATAATTAGCATGCATCCCTGATCAGAATATGGATGTGGTGTTATGTACTGTGCTCTAATCAAGAAGGAATCCCTCTACTTGTCTGACCACCACTATCTAGCCCTGTAAAGACTGACTACAACCCCCACCCTCACTGTACATTAGGGGTGTAAGGAAATATCGCTGTGTATATTTTGCTGCTTAAACCCCCCACTGTTAGATAGCAGTGTTGTAAACAGAGCTATGGTGGTGTAATGATGGTGTAATGATGGTGTAATGATGTTACAGGTACTGTGCTGAACACAAAGGAAGATCCCACTGTCCTGGCTGCATTAAAAAGTTAAGCTCAGCTTTTATGCATAATGGTGGATTGTTCTTTTATACCATGACAGCAGTCCTTTGATTTTTTTTTTTTTTTGAAAAGTGCAATATATCACCTTGTTTACAGTGTCGCAATATATCACAACATACTGAATCGTAAGCCCTGCATTGAGATCCGGGTCGCCAGGTTCTTGCCAATACACAGTCCTAGTTTACAGACAGTAGTTCAGGTAAGCCCCAACAGTCGAAGCATTGCCATGGTCCCATTATTAATCATTTGGGATTGAGTCTGAGAGATGCAATTATAGTGAGAACACACTTAAAGCTGAACCGAGGTTACCCAACAGCATGGAGAGCCAAAGGTTCCGTTTAAGACTACAGATAACGTCAATAACGTGACATTAACGATCGGTTACCTCTTTCCTGATCATGACGTCGTTCTTGTAGTTGCTGTTGTTCGCGTACCTCAGTTTACCTGCAAGACAATATTCAGTAGCACCGATGAGAAACAATGGGTCACTTTTAACAAAACGCATACGAGTTTGTTACCATCCCTACAGGCCACATGGCGCCTAAACGCCTATACGATATTACTCAATACAGCCCTTCATTCATAATAGCCACAATTTGCGACATTAACTCAGCATAAACATTAACTAATATAGTTTAAGAGACAGTGGAAACCACACAGAGAATTTGGCGCTAGCAACTCGAGTATCTTGAGTCCGCTGCGGCCTAGCTAGTGCCGGGTGGCTAGCGACGTTAGCACAGACGCAGGAAAGCTAACACGTCTGTATTAGCGCCAAACTCAACTTACCGTCAGGTCTGAATTCAAATTCCAGGAACTCGTGTCCAAACTTTCCCTTGTGCCCGACATAATATCTCAAATAGAAGTCGCTTGTCGACATCTTTGCTCTCCAGAAAGTACTCTTTCTGGTGAAGTCTGCGGAACAAAACTTAGCAAGAGCAGCCTGGAGCCTCGCCACTCATGTACGCATGCGTGAAAGGTCACTTGGTTTGTGACATCCGTTCCCTGAAGTTTGTCTGTCAGGAAGTTGATACGTCAGTGCCACTTTTAAAGCACTGTATTATTTTTGTATAATAAACAACACTCATATGGACAGTTTGATCATAATGACTGTGTCTCTTGGGAAAGCATCACATTCACAAGATGTACAAAAAGGGACTGTTTTGCATTTAACTTCATAGTGTTTTCAGTTTTGAACGTATAGACCTTTCTGGTTTGTCCAGGCTATTATTTTTGGTCTTCACGTGTCATTGTTTCTTTAATTAAGCAGCTAATTGTTCATTTGGGGGTTAGACTTTGCCCATGTCTGCAAGCTTTAGACGCAGCCTATGAAAGGGTTCTGTCTGAAAGACCTCACCCAGGGATTGACTATCCCAAAGCTTTAAGCGTCGTCGCATTTTACCTACGTCATCACTCTCCGCACCGAGGAACCGTCCCCGAGCTGGGAGCGCACGTGTGGTTGTGTGAAACGTTATCCCATGGCGGGCTCATTCTCTCAAGAGCTCGAGGATCTGTTGAATCCTCTGCCTAAGTTTGCCGATCCGGAGGATGACGAAGACGAGGCCACCAAAGCCAAAGTGATCGAAGGATTCAACGAGGACGCTGATGAAGATGGGGTCGGCCCCAGCGCTCTGCGGAAGCACAGCACATCCCTGCTCTCAGAGACTGACACACGGTACGTGGGGAAGACCGTCTCTCGGAAACAGCTGCTGATGGACATTGAGGGATCCGAGGAAGAGGAGGACGACGACGACGATGATGATGATGATGATGATGATGGAGAGGAGGGGGAGGGCAGCAATGAAGAAGAGGATTCCATGGAGGATGGTGATGATGATGATGATGATGATGAGGAGGAGGAGGAGGAGGAGGAGGAGGAGGAGTTGGTTGGCAGTGATGCACACCTGGCGTCTAAGAGGAAGACTGCTGACATGACCCTTCCTCAGGGGGTGGACTTCCACAAACTGACAGAGGGCATGGACGACCTGGGAGTGAGTGAAGATGATGATGGCAGCGGCGAGGAGACCGAAGACAGCGATGAAGATGACGGCTCTGAGGAGGAGGAGGAGGAACGACGATGATGATGACGACGACATGGAAGAGGATGAAATGAAGAATGAGGGAAACCTGTAAGCGCACATTTTCTAAACAGAAAGTGGACGAGGAGGTGGAGAAGGGGAAGGCCGTGAAGAACCAGCTGGGCCTGTGGGACCAACTGCTCGAGGGCCGAATCAAAATCCAGAAGGCTCTGGTGACGGCCAACCAGCTCCCGCAGCCGCAGACCCTCCCCGAGTTCAAGAGGAGGGGTGGAGCCGAGCTCGCGGGGGAGCTGAAGAATACCCACAAAGCCCTGAAAGCCCTCCAGCGATCCCTGCTGGAGCTGCACGACCAGCTGCTGTGCCAGAGCGCCGACACGAGGGCCATCGCTCTGGGGAAGACCGGACCTCAGGGCGAAGACGAGGAGATAAACAGTGATGAGGATGAAGAGGGGTCAGTGCAGGAGCGTGGAGCGCCTAAACGAAAACTGGAGACGGCAGAGTACCCGGACTTCATGGCCAAACGGTTTGCTGCTTTCCAGCCGTACCGAAACGCCACTCTGCAGAAGTGGCACGACAAAACCAGACTGACTATGGGCAAAAGCAGCAAGGGCTTCGGGGCGTTCGACAGAAACATACTGACACAGGTGGAGCAGGTGCTGACGGACAATGAGAGGCTGGTGCGGCGCACCCAGACCCGACGCTCAGAATACAGGATCCTGGGGAAAAAAGAAGCCTCTGCTCTCGCCTCTGAGACCACCTTCACGGAGGGAGAGGAGGCGGAGCAGCAGCTGAAAGCCAACAGGCATCTGAAGGACCTGGACGAGGATATATTTGACGATGACGATTTCTACCACCAGCTACTGAGGGAGCTGATCGAGCGCAAGACGAGCGCAGCGGACCCCAATGACCAGGTGGCTATGGGCAGGCAGTGGCTGGCCATCCAGAAGTTGCGCAGCAAGATCAAGAAGAAGGTGGACACCAAAGCCAGCAAGGGCCGTAAGGTCAGGTTCCACATCCACAGTAAGCTGGTCAATTTTATGGCTCCTATTGACCACAGCTCGATGGGCGACGAGGCACGCAGCGAACTGTACCGTGGCCTCTTTGGCCAGAACTCCACAGCCAGGGAGTGAGGAAGGAGGTAGTACTCACAGAGCCTGATTACAAACAAAGAAGTGCCTTTTTCCCTTAGCCAGGAGTGATGCCAAGCTGGGACAGAGACTGGGCCTGCTCCGGGTCAGGAGAGGCTCTTCAGAGGGCCGGCAGCCATGGTGCTCTGACTTTACAGGATACGGACTTACAGGGCACATCCAGTTCTTATTAAGTACTGAGTAGCATTTTCAGTATATGTTGTTTATGTACAGAAAACGCTGTATGTTTATCTTGTCACAGAGTCTCATATGATTCAAGTAAAGTGTCTCTACTTCAAATTGCTTGGCCTTTTTTAAAGTAGTGAACTGTCCTAACATATATGGTGTGTCCAATTCCATACAACATAGTAACTGTATACAGTGTCCGGTTTAAGCAGTCAGTATAAAAAACACAAATGTCACACATGGAATGAGACAGTACTTTATATAAGAATTGACCTACTAAATAAACTATAGAGAGGGACAGAAAAAGTTTTAGCGCAGCTCCATCATTTCCTTTGTGCATTGCGTTGTGGCAGAATAGTTTGCACCAGCAGCATATTTAAAAAATCAAGGGCAGAGGTCATAAACTCAAATTGGCCTGTGGCCACTGCTGGTACTGTTATCTCATAGGAGGTCCCTGCAATGTTAAAAAACTACAAGAAAGTGCAGTCTCCATCACTAACTTCATACTTAACAAAAAAACAAAGAGAAATAGTTTTTGTTTATATTTTATATCATCATTTTACATCATCTTTGTTGTTCTCAGCTAAACAACTTTCTTCTTATCAACCTTTGACCTTTGCCATTATTTTGTACCAAGTGAAATACATTTTTTATTTTAATTGCATATGAAGGGGTACCTGCTTACATTAAGCATGTACTGTAGTACTGGTTTAGGACACAACTGTAGAGTTATGATATTACAGGTGTTGTAGGGTCTATAGCCAGGACTGAGGTCATGAACCCAAGTTCCCATAATGTCAAAGTGGGTCTTTTATAACAGATGCACAGTAGACTAAAGACCGATGATTCTGTCTTAAGAAATCCCCTTGGAGTATTTTTTTTATTTTTAGGTTTGAAGATAAAGTATTCATCAATAAGCAACCGATGGTCCCTATAAATTTATTATATATTGTTCCAACTTACAAAAAATGAGTGAAAATACTTGCTGGAGATCCCCTACAACTCTAAACTATTCCTAATATTTAGATTTCTATATTTAATTATTTTTCTATTTTTTTCTGTAAATTCTTTTCATTCTCAACACAAAGGTCCAAATGTTTGAGCACACTGCCAGGAATAAAAGATCTGGAGGGGAAACAATGAAACCTATTATTTTACTGACCAAAAAGTAGTCAAATTTCAATACTGGATAGGACATTTTGACTTGTCATATGCCGCGTTTGTCATATTTAAAACGTGATTATGAGCAGCAGAGAACAGAAACCCTCAACAAACTGTTGACAGAATGGCTGAAAACACAGCACCACTGACGGTTACATCGAAATAAACTCCAATATTAACACTATACAATGGATTCTGATAAATGAAAGAAGCTATACACTGTTCTTCCCATTCTGCTGAATACAGTGTTAAGTAGGAATCTGCTCTGTTCAAGTGTCCCAGTTAGAGCTTTGATTTTCTGCCCGAACCCAAATGGACCCGACACGGCCCACCAGGTTCGGGCCAAAACTGCTGCCATAGGTCGGCCACGGACTAATTGAGATAAAATAATAATAATAATATTTTATTAACAACTCTAATTAATGAGTAAATTTGTAATTTATTCATTTTAATAATTTGTAATAAACTTACTCTATAGTAGCCTCAATAGGCTAAATTATAGGCTTTAACACTTTCATAAGCACTATTGCATATTTGCTTTGCTCTAACTATCACAGAGGCACGGAGCAGCTTTTATTAAACTGCTTCCACGATTCCGGTTCAGGCTCGCACAGAATTTTTCCAGGTCTGGTTGGGTTGGATTTTTTAGGGCCCAACCAAAGCTCTAGTTCCAGTCAGCCATATCAGTGAGCCAGCATGCACAATGCCACAACCTTAAAACATGCCAAAATGTCTTCTATGCAAAAGGCCTATTAGCCTATAAAACAGCCAACATCTTAAAGTTTTGAATTGCTGAATGTAAACTTTATTAAAATCTCCAAATCCCCAGAAACAAATACAGAGGATATGACCTCAAAGGCAGCCACAGCCCTGATTGCCTCTACATTACTCCACAGTGTTTGTAACTGAAAAGCAAGTCAAATGCTCAACCTTTTCTGGGTATCTGCAATATGGCACCAAGCAGCAAGTGGCATTTTTCTGTTCTCTAATAATATGTACAGAACAATGATTAGATCTCAACTAAACCAGAAACGCAAATATATATTTAAATCAAATGCAAGTGTCAACTCAAGCAAACAAAGAGTACCTGAGAACTTTATCGTAAGAAAAATGTATACAGGAAGAAAACTCTTCAACATTTACAGAACACATTTACATTGGGTGTCTGCATGACATTTAACAGCTCAATGCATTTATTAATACAACTCCCAGTGTGTAGGTTTGCTTCTTTGAAATGAAACTTGCATACATGTGCATCTGTGGATTCAAGTTTATGGGACTCAAAAGGAAAATAATACTTTGTGGTAATTCCATAACATAATTATTTGCTCTTAATGTTACCGACATCTAAATGAGTTACAGTAATGTCAGCATCACATTTAAGTTTTCACATTTCTTTTACACAATTAGCCCACAGAGACAGTACAGGAAATGATCTTTGGTGATGATGTCATACATCAGATAATTTGAGGTGGGAATCGGTTTTTGAATTTGACTAATTCAGTTTGTTAGATTCACACGAGACGAAGCAAGTGCAGCCTGGGGGCACATGGCACACACATCACAAACCTCAATCCATTGGTACATTATTTCAAAATCGATTTGTATAAGTGAAAATACGCTTTACAGAGAGCTTGAAAAAAGACGTGAAGTTGCATTGATAAAGGTTATTAGTCAGGTCAGACGGTGCACCTGTAACTGTGGTGGGATACAGTAAGGCCCTGCCATTAAACAGCGTGTTGCTACACTGCATTTATTGTATGGTTAAAGGCTGTTCGGAAATCTTGTCAGACACCATAACTGCTTTTTTAGTTACTTTGTCCGTTTCAGTGCTGTGGTAAAGGCAAGCAGCAGTTTGAAATGAAATTACAAGTGAGCCTCTTCGCATTTCTCCCCTTTCAATCTCATACAGTACACAAGCTAAAGAGAAAAACCTAACTGAATATACAACTGCTCTAAACCAGCTCCACAAACAAATGCTCTCCCCTTTTATTAATCCCCTCAGTCCAAGCAGGAACAGATCAAAAGGAGGCCTTTTGATTTCCTGGCAATTACTCTTGCCTCGTTAGCCACACTGTAGAGCACATTCGGCGTGTAGAGGTGAACCCTCCGTCCTCTCTTTGGGGAGCGCTGCGCTCAGTGAGGCCGACTGCTGGACTCCATGTTTGGCTGCTTCTTTGTTGTTCCATAACCATTAAACCACCCGCTCAGCCGTTTGGTCAGACCACCATTGAGAATATCCTGGATGTGTTGAACTATGAGATTTATAGCAACTGTATTGAGAGACAAAGAGAGTGTGCAGTCAGGGTTAGGCTCAGTAGCAAAGCATCATCTCAGATATTCCCAAACAAAAACCAAACCCAGTGATCTTGTAAAAACCCACATGGTTATTCTGAAGGTATTTCCAAAGACTCGAAACATCTGGATGAAAAAATATAAAATATTCTGTCCTCTATATTTTTGTTTTATGATAAAATACCTGCAAAATTAATTCAAATCTGCCTCAGTAGTTAGTAGTAGCTAATAGCTAATTAGCTAATGTTAGCATGCTAACATGCTAAAATAATATGATGAGCAGCAGTGAACTAGTCGATGCAGAAGGCCACCCACCTAGAGCCGGGGTCTGCTCGAGGTTTCTGCCTGTTAAAAGGCAGTTTTTCCTTGCTGCCATCACAAAGTGCTTGCTCATGGTGGGAACTGTTGGGTCTCTGTAAATAATGTTAAAAGGAGTTCGATGTAGCTC